TTATTTTATCTTTATTTTATCTTTATCTTTATCTTTATTTTATCTTTATTTTATCTTTATTTTAGCATGTTCAGAACTGGTTGTAACATGCTTCTCAAGCTTATTCTATGTTCATCCTGATGTTTGGCATCGTTGTAGGTGTGCTCTTGTAGGACCTGGTCAGCAGGGATGCCTCTGCACCTCTGGAGGGTGAGACAGGCCACATGCAGAGAATTGCCCTTGAGCACTGTACACCTCTGTATATAACTGTATTCTGTATATATAAGGCTCAGTTCTCAGGTTATTTACCCTGACTTTTTCTTCAGTAAGAGCTGATCTCCTGAAATGCCTGGGTCAGCTGAAAGGTGCTCCACCCTGACTTTTTCTTCAGTAAGAGCTGATCTCCTGAAATGCCTGGGTCAACTGAAAGGTGCTCCCAGATGGTCACCAGTCTGGTGGGAGTGCTTGAGGATTGCTTTGGGTATTGCTTATTTTTTTGATCAAGAGCAGCAGTCTATGCATAATTTTTTGGTTGGTGAAAATTATTTAACATGAAGTTAATAATTAAATCATCTCCATACCAGTTTTACTCCTGTCAGGTAGAATATCCAGAGTCAGGACTGGGAGGCTCAGCTGATTTTTTGGTCTGTTCTGGTCGCCTGCTTGGAGCTGGTTTCCCAAATCAGTTTATTCATCCATCCCGGTGGCTTATCTCTCTTCTTTTGCACCATTCCCTCTGTTAAATCTGACTCTGCATTTCAGTGTGCCTCTTTCAGAGGTTCTGCACTGAGACTTCCTTGCTACAATAATATTTTGGTGCATAAGTAAGCAGTGTTTGCAATTCCTGGAGATGCTTTCCCATGTGACAGATAGGGTATCTTCTGTTTAGTGTTGAAACAAACATCCCTTTTTGCTCTGTGAACTACAGAATTGGAAGGAAATAATAATCCACTCTGAGTTTCAACTAGCAGCTGAAGTTGTGTGCTACAAAGCTGATGGGCCAGCTGATGGGCATACTTGTATTTTTGTTAATTCAGATTAATTTGTGATTAATAACTATGGGTATATTATAGTGTAGCTGCAGCTAACTTTTAGTAAATGCAATTTTATGTGAACCATTTTTGCTTTAGAATATGAATCTTAATTTTCCTACTGATTGGTGTTTTGTAATATTACTTTAACATTTTACCCAGCTTTCTATTACAACTAGAGCTTTCTTGCCAGCTAAGCCCCCTGAAGTAACATAAATTCTGCTTCAGTTTGATATGAGGCATATGAGTATCAGTTCATCACATCTAATTCAAATAGAGTATTCTAATATGCTAATGAGCACTCCAATTAGTGTGGCAAAAACTTTGAAGATTCATAGTAATTACTTTTTTATTTCTGAGTAGCTTTCAGAGAAGATTTCTGACACTTTCTTCTTAATCTCAAACCATTAGAATGAAAATGCTCTTTTTTTTAGTGAGTGAAATTTCATTAATGGGCCTTGTGCACTTGGAAGTTGGAACTATAGATATAAAAAATAATTCAGATCTAGGAAATAGGAGATACAAGAGCATAGTTCTGATAAGTGTGTGTTTAAATAGTTTGTGATGCTTGAGTAACTGTTCACCTAAGTACAGCGTCTGATGTTAAAGTATTATACTTTGTATGATAAAGATTGTAAAGTCTATAAAAGGCCCTGTTTAGGACTAACAATCTGAAGAGGTAAATGCATCCCAAAGATTAGGTCTGTTGTCCCCAGTGGAGTTCCTTTGGAAAATTTCTCCCTGGATTTAGCACTCACTTGGATGATCCTGGAATCCTCTGGCCAGTTCTAATACAGACAGTTCAAAAAAGTTCTTGAAAAAAGCACAGATGGTTCAGTCAGGAGCCCTTAAAGGGCTGAAAGCACACGTTTCAGTGGAAGATATTCTATCCTGTGTAGCTCATTCAAGAGGTTAAGAGGTGACATCCTCCAAAATTGAAAAGGGATTGATGCTGAATGCAGAAGGTAAAAGGAGGCAGATGCTTGTCAGGGAGAGAGGAGACAAAGGGCCTTATAATTCCCCCATTAGCACTTGCCGTGGGACTGTGTGTGGTGTGATGCCAGCCCTTGTCCCTCCCCGTGGGACTGTGTGTGGTGTGATGCCAGCCCTTGTCCCTCCCCGTGGGACTGTGTGGGGTGTGATACCAGCCCTTTTCCCTCGGCAGGAATCACTGCTGGGCAAAGTGTCCTCGTGCCACGTAGGAGCAGACCAGTGGCCCACGGCTTGTTGGCCATTGCTGGAAAATCTTAAAGTAGGGTTGGCTTTTCTTTCTGCCTAAAAGATAAGCTCTGTACCACTTTTTGATCTTGAAGATGGAAATAATTCAGAGGGGTCCTGTGCTCTAGGTGATGCAGGGAGGTCACATGGAATTAGCGGTCATTGTAGAAAAATCCTCTTTTTCTGCCCTTAAAAATCATCCATCGATGAGGTATCAATTTGCAATCAGTTTGTTTGTTTCTGACAGGTCTCTGGGTGGCTGGGCAGGAGCTCTCTGGTCCTCCTCCTCTCTGGGGAGGTCACGGTCCCAGGGTTTCACAGTCAGAAGGCAGACCCCACCTGGAGCTCTGTGTCCAGCTCTGGAGTCCTCAATGTAGAAAGGACATGGACCTGTTGGGTCCAGCAAAGGGCCAGGAAGATGCTCAGAGGGCTGGAGCACCTCTGCTGTGAAGACAGGCTGAGAGGAGCTGGGGTTGTTCAGCCTGGAGAGGAGAAGGCTCCAGGGAGACCTTAGAGCAGCCTTCCAATATCTGAAGGGAGCTCCAGAAGAGCTGGGGAGGGACTCTTTGCCAGGAAGTGCAGTGACAGGACAAGGGGTAACGGTTTTAAATTGGAAGAGGGGAGATTGAGATGAGATCTCAGGAAGAAATTCTTTGCTGTGAGGGTGGTGAGGCACTGGAACAGGTTGCCCAGAGAAGCTGTGGCTGCCCCATCCCTGGAGGTGTTCAAGACCAAGTTGGAGGGGGCTTGGAGCAACCTGGTCTGGTGGGAGGTGTCCCTGCCCAGGGCAGGGGATTGGAACAAGGTGATCTTTAAGGTCCCTTCCAACTCTAACCATTCTATGATGCTATGAGATGCTGCAGTGGGTGAAAGAAACCCCTGCCTTGGGGGAGCTCCAGCGGTGGCATCTGATGTGGGAATGTTGGCAAGTCTCTGCTGGAACTACAGGTCCAGGGACTGGTGGAATCCCACCTGCAGAGCAGGGAACAGCAGGAGAAAGCCCTGAGAGTCCTCACGGCAGGGCTGCCCTGGAAGATTGGCCTCTGCAGTTGATCCACAAATGACTTTGGAGGAAACGTGGCCATTTCTTAGCAGAGCTGCACCCAGCGAGCAGAATTCTGCCGTGAAATCACTGAAATGCGTGTCCGAATGAAGCATTTTGGATTCAGCAGACTATCATTTTCCACTTAGAAGTATTTTTCTGAAAACTTCTTAGTCAACTCCTGTGCTTACAGACTTTTTTCTTATTTAGTTTTCTTTCAGTGCATTCTGATAAACATCTCTCAGATTATTTGCTTTTGGCAAGTGATGGAAGAGGAAGGGAAGTTTGAAGAATATTTTTAGCTTGTCCAAGCCAATATTGCACCAGAAAATAGATGCGTGTTGTTACAGTTTTAATAATGGAATTGACTGGTAATTCTCTGAAGTGTGATAATTTGTTGCTGGAAAATGCAGTTTAAAAATCCTTGCAGGATTAAGGGTGTTGACTTTGGGGGTGGTGATGGTGGTGTTTGTTTTCCCCAAACACGGACACGCTCCTTCCTGTCCTCCAGCCTGATTTGATCCCAGTGTTGTGTGAGCTCAGAGCTGAGCGGTGCTGTCATTACACCAAAGATGCTAAGCATGAAAATTTTGACATGGTATTTCTAACTGGAAGCAGTTGTCAATTCTGGCTAGTTATGTTAACTCCTCCCACTTAAAATTTTGCCTTTATTCTGCATACATCCTGCTCAAATCTTCTTCTGCGGGTTGGCTTTTTTTTTCCTGTGACCTTATACAAGTGAAAAAGTTGAGGCATAGAAAAACCAGCTGCATTTCTGCTGATGCTTTTGTGGAAAGTCCACACAAATCATTGTTTTGAAAAAAGAAATAGCGCCTCGCCTCCAAAATTCTTGCATCCTGAATGGTATGAAATTGAATAAACATTCTGACCCTCTGTTTTTAAGTAGTTGTGGTTTTTTTTTTTAAAGAATAATGTTAAGATCCTACTTGGGTTAATCCGTTTCTGTCTGGGTGATGAGATGTTGTGTGGAGCAGAGGAAAGCGCACAGCTTTTCCCTGGCTTTCTCTCTGGCTATTGCAGACCAGATCCCCATCCTGTGGAGGTCAGTGAAAAAATACCTATGCTGGGATTGAGGGTGTAGCTTTAGATGCTCACTGCTTAAGCACGTAGGACATGTTAGTCTTAAAGCAGTGTTACAAACTAGGGATGCTTTTGTTGGACCCGACCAGGGATGCTGCTGAGATGCAGCTGGAAGGTGACATCAGCCACGGCTTCTCTTGGGTGATGCGTTGAACCCGAGAACCCCAAATACCAGGCAAACAGCCCTTGCCAAGCTTTTACCTTTCTCTTTTATTTCCTCTACAAAATATACCGAGCCAGTTAAAACAATAAATGGTTCTAGGGAACTTCGAGCACCTCTTCTGTGTTTTCTTTCCTCTTTCTGCTGTTGAAAGGCAACAGCTACGCTAACCCCGACCCAGGGTACGGTGACAGGTCTGCGATTAGCTCCCATCTTCTCCTCCTGCAGTAGCCAGGAGGAGAATATTGTGTGCACAATATCCTAAATATTGTGCAGCCACTATGAATATTCTTAACCTCAGCTCTACCTGAGTTCTGTAGGTGAGGATTACCTTTTTTTTTTTTTCCTGCCGCTACTTCTATCCTTAAAGCATGCGAACTGGGCTTAATGAAACTTTGTCCCAAGAAGAGATTAACTAATGTTCACGTGAGTATTTCAGTGTGTTTTGTTCTGCTGTTTCCCCTTTTAGGTGACAGCGAGATTGTAAATAATATGTACGAGACCGACCCTGATCTCCTTGCTGGCGAAAGTGCAGAGGAGGAAACAGAGGACAGTATTATGTCCCCCATTCCTGTCGGACCTCCATCACCCTTTCCCACCAGTGAGGACTTCACTCCCAAGGAGGGCTCACCTTATGAAGCTCCCGTCTACATTCCTGATGACATTCCAATCCCACCAGATTTTGAACTCAGAGAATCTTCGATTCCAGGGGCAGGGCTAGGGATTTGGGCCAAAAAGAAGATTGAAGTTGGGGAAAGATTTGGACCCTATATGACAGTACAGAGGAGCACATTAAAGGAGACAAACTTTGGATGGGAGGTAAGCGTGCGGAATGGGACAATCACATTCATTTGTCTTCTGTGCAAACTGTTCATAAAGCTCCACCAAGTCCTGACCAGCCTGGGGACAGGAGGATTGACTTTGCTAATGCCTTATTTCCCTGCGTTATTTGCATCCCCCATTACATACAGTATTTAAAAAGCAGCAGAAACCCCTTTTTAAGAGAGCTTCTTGGGCTACAAATCCTGCTCTGGCACCGTTTTGGGAGGTTGATTTTAAATGATGTTGGGTCACTTCTTAAAGTGCTTGTCATTTTCAAATTGTGTTCAGAACTTGTCACAATGGAAGGAATCTGATGAGTCGCATCATGTTTTGTAGTTGGGTGTGTTACCTTTGACTTGCAGTCCATGTTAGCGGTGCAGGCATTATTAACTGCTCAGAGAAAAATAGCGTGTACCCATTAACACCCTCGATGTTCTTGAGTTCTTGTTCTGCAGCAAAGATAAAGAAATGTGAAAGTCATTCTTCCCTAAGAGCGAAACGAAACCCCAGTCTTCGATAGAAAAACCAGTCGTAGAACTCACCTCTTTCTCCCTGCTTTTCTGGGATTGTCCCAGAAATCATCTTAGTCTCTTGTGCTCCAAATCTTGATTTGGAAATATCCATTCCGCTTTTCTGGGATTGTCCCAGAAATCATCTGAGTCTCTTGTGCTCCTGTTTTCTTGATTTGGAAATATCCATTTCCCTAAGAATTGTCATAAATTATATATAGTAGGTTCTGTGAAGAGTGAAATATAGTCTGGGATTTATGCTCTGTGCCCACAGTCCCATCCCAGTGCATCCAGTGTCCATTGCCTGATATATAACTGCTTCTCTCCTGTAGCCCTAATGCCCACCCAGCCCCACAGTATCCCTGCCACACACCGATCGGATCGGCTGGCTTCTGTCTTGAGGAGATGGCCAGTCCAGGGGGGTTTTGCTGGCCAGGGCTCCCGTGCTGTTTGAGAGCCTTGCCCTGTCCCTCAAAATAGGTTCAACCTGAATTTTACCTCCTTTTTCCCTCGGGCGAAGCAGTAACTTGGCTTTTTTTTTTCCCCCGTCAGCCACTACACTCTGGATTGTGAAGCCTGATAAATCAATGAACAGTTGGATTTTGTATTTCCAGATGTTTTTGTTTACTTTTTTTTAGTGTGTCGAAAGCGCAGGAAAAAGCAAAAACTGCTTGCTATAAAAACAAAAACTCAATCATGTTTTGTTGTTCTGCAGTAGGAAATGTCTGAAGAGCTAAAATCAGAGTTTGGGTGAATGAGTCGAGAGTTTCCTTTTCTCTCTCTCCTAAGGCAGGAGAAGGGAAATTCAGCTGAGAGTTTTGGTTCCCTCTCCCCCCGCCGATGGCATTCCTCAGCTCATCTCTGTGTTGGCTGCTCTTCTTGTGAATATCATTACAGAATATTTGATTAGTTTTACTGTATTAGCTACAAAGCATGGATTTTTTTTTTTTTTTTTTTTTTGGAAAAACCCACTCTGCTAATATACTGGAAATACTGGTCTGTTTTGGGGAGGCTGCAGGAGTGAGGCAGCTTGAGATCACCTAATGTAATGGTCACATTAAGGTTCCTCTGAAACAAAGCACAATTTTCCTCTAGGAATATGCGATATTGATTATTTGTAGGCTGCAGTGTGGAAATGGCTCCTACAGAAAGATGAATTCTCTTTTTCTGAACCTAGTGTATATAGGTGGCATTTGGTGGTGGGTTTTTTAATTTAATTTTATTTTAAAGACTGCTTCTTTTTTTTTTTTTTTGGAACAAAGTGCCATCCCCCTTGGCTGCTAGAAGTAGAGCAGTGCAAGTCTTTTTTTCCTATGACCTTGGCCAAACTTTGTCCTTGTGTTTTATATTTCTGATAAAAGTTTGTATTTACATTCATGTTTTTAAGGAATGTTCCCTATACCCATTCTTCACTGAAAGTCAGGCCTGATATAAGCCCTATCTATTAACTTCAGTCTACGTTGACTTTGTGATACTATTTATTTTTGTAACGTAATTGAACAAACTTTCTTTCCCTGTGGTGCTCTCCCATTTCAGTGGTGTTCTTTTGTTCTGAGATTTGGCAGGTACATTTCATACCTGAAAGGAAGGACTATTTGTCCTCCATCAGGTGTCCTCACACACTGTTCTGCACCCACCCTAACTCTATCTCTCTTGACCTTGCTTGGACTTTGCAGACATCTCTTGAGGTTTTCCGCTTCCCGGTACATTTAAAGAAAGTTCAGAAATCTGGTTTTTAGTCACTTGGTGCCTTCATGATTTCTCTTGGGGACAACATACCCAAATACTGTCATGTGCTAAACAGGAATTCATGTCATAAATGCTATCTCTGTCTGTTGTTTTCCGAGCTGGTTCCTTTGAGTATAGGGTTGGAAAAGCCTTAAAAAGATATTCTAGGCAGCTTTACGTGATGTTACTTGGGCTAGAAAATTGTAACTTGGGACATATTTGCACCCTCTGTTAATAAAATTGAGTAGGCAGCAAAAGAAAAAAAAGGGAGGAGTTTGTTGTCACCCTGCACCTTGTTGACCAGACCTTTGCTTCTGTGTGTTAGTTCTTAAAATAGTGATAAATCTCACAAATCTAGTTTTTGTAGTGGACTGAGAAGTGATCCTTATGTAGCCTGACTTTAATTTATGACAATACTTCTCTGTAACTTGGTGTTTGGACTGGCAGTGACTTGGAAGTTGAATGCCGTGCCTTTTCCTTTTTTCAAATATAATTTTAATAGTGTTTCTGCCTTTTGCACAGAAAGGGCCTGCCCTTCATCACAGGAAATTTGTTGTCAGACTTTGACTAAACCCAGAGTCCCACTAGAAGGGGCAATATCCAGGGATGCTTTGCATCCCCATGTGAAGTGGGCACTCATGAGCCCACCTTGGCTGGGTTAAAGATGTTGATGATGATGTGTAGGACACATCTTTGTGCTTAAAAATGCGTATCTGGCTTCTGAGCACGGTCAGTTTGCAAATTTCTTAATAAGCAATTTCTTAACGGGCCCCGATCTGCTGTAGGTGGCATAAAGGATGAGATGGGGCTGGGGAGGCTGCAGCAGAGTCTTTGTCTGTGGGTGTGTGGGGAGGCGAGTTCCTGTTGCTGGTCTGTGGGTTTGCTTCCTTCAGCTTAAGCATGCCAATTCACTATATTAAAATATAATATGAATTTTATGATCCTTTCATGTGTACTTCACAATTAAGATCTGTTTCTTCTGATTTCTATCATTAAAAATATCCATTCTGGGGGGCTGAGAAATGTGCTATTAAGGGCTTTGATTTGGAAGTGGATCTCTCTCTGCTGTCCAAGGCATTGACAGTGCAGAAGTAGCTTTCTCTTTTCAAACTTTAATGAGACCAGGTGTGTGAAAATTAAAACGACACAAAAAAGTTACCTGTATTTCTTCGAAGTCCTCAAGAAACACGGGCTCCTGTTTGGGGGTCGGGGCCAGCTCCTTTTTGATGGAAACCTCTGGGTCTCTGGCCCCAGACCTGGCTCTGCTGTAAAACATCTCCCTCCAGGAGGGAGAAGAAGAATGCTGTTTGCTGAAACTTTAGGCTTTACTCATTACTTCCCCTAATAGCCTAAAACATCATAGGGAGCACAGAATGCTGTGTCTTACTTGCTGTATCTCGGAAAAAAATATATGCAATTTTTTTTGTTTGTTTTTGTTAATTATAGAGGTTTTTCCTTTGAGCCAGAGAGGAGGGACTGGGTTAATCCTGGGTGGATACACGTCCTTCTGCAACAGCAGCAACTCTTCACTATCTTGCTGCTTTAGATGTTTTTCCTCCAACATTTGCTTTGTGGATTATGTTTTGAAAAATATTCTTTAAATTAAGCCACACCTATTGTTCAAGGGCTTTTTTAACACGGGATGGCAGTGAGTGATTCATGCTCATTTCATAAAAATAAATGAGATGTGTTGGGCTTCCGGCCCCCACCCCCTCCCAGGGATGATTCAGTAAGTGCTTGTATAGGATGGTGCCGTGTGTTCCCTCCGTGCCTCACTCCCTGACACTGCAGTGCTGATCCTGTTTACCTTTTTTTTTTTTGCCTTAAAAGACACCACCCAAACTAAAAGCCTTGTGATTATTTAGTGTGACGTGATTGCATTTCTGCTCTGCTCTCCTGATCCTATTACTTCCTTGCCTGCTGACACAGAACATACCATTCAGAGTACCCCAAATAAATCACAGCATGTTTTCCCTTTATTGCCTCTGGGACCTTAAAAAAAAAAAAAAAACACAACAAAAAAAGCCCAAAAAATCGCATGATGATTTGGATCGCTGTTGAGTAAATAATCATATTTATCATAGCACTGTTTCTTTTGCTAATTAAGAGAAGAATGGGAACCACATCTGGGAGGGAAATTCAGCAACTGAATTCTAGGGAATTTGGAAGCAACCAGATATGCTTTTGGCTCAGTTTGCTTCACAGGGTAAATACCATTAATAAAATACAGTTATTAGTTCCTTTGTTTTAATTTATATTTTAAGAGCGGTTATTTGCTGAAACACAAGAGAATTCTCTTACACTAAAGTGTAAGAGCCAGGCAGCTTTTTTACATATGGAAAATAAGTGCTTTCATTTAATACTTTAGGGTGAAGATAGGAGCTCTCCCGTGAAAGACAAATAACTGTGGAAAAAATCAGAGCCGGGAGCTAAGGATGCAGCGAGCATTCCTGGCCTCACGTCTGTGCCAGTGGAAAACTCTGCTGGTTTTCGAGCGTGCTTTATAGTGTCAGTGATTCACAGCAGCTCAGCCTCCCTCTTCCCACAAAACAGAATATTTACATTTTGGTGCGGGGCTCTTTTTTGTTTATTTTGCTTGTTTGTTTGCTAGAAATACTCCTCAGTGCTGAGGGAAATTTACTTCACGCGACTGGCCCTGATGGCTGAGAGGAGAACGATATTGTATTTCCTTGAGTCTTAAAAATATTGAATTAGGAAGGAGACTCTGAGCATTCTTTTAACTGCGAAGGTTTTGTCATG